AAATGATTTTCTTTCTCGCTAGACCTTTGGAGTCTATTAGCTACTAATTGTTACCCTTATCATAAACTCTAAACATACGCAAAACTCGCCCTTCAACAGAGAGTTTTGCACCAAAGCATTATTGATAATTCTGATTTGGCTAAGGTTTTAAAAGTAACAATATCTAATAGGGCAAGTGCGCTATATTTAAATGATCAGAAGACAAACTCTGTGACTTTTTAAAGAGAGGTGTACTGCAGATAACTAAAGCAAAGTTAAAATCCGCCTATTTATGCTTTATGGCATATGTAGATTTTGTTGCAATACTATTCGACCAAAATAGTTCATCTGAGCAAAAATTGTAAAAAATGGGAACTCGTATGTCTGGTTCATTATCTTTTTGAACACTAAAAAATATTATCTGTTAAAAGTGGAGAGTACTATTCTAAAGTCAGTTTTATAATAATTCAACAGACAGCATCTGTCTTCCCATATTCGGTAGCGAAAGATATAATGTAACCATGTTTATAAAAGTCTGTCAATCTTAGAATTGACCAATTTTGAATGATAATCTAGTCTTCTTCTTCTTCTTCATCTTCAACTACACAAAGTGATGCCTCACAACGTTCTCCAGTTTCCGTGCACAACTCGCATACTTCACCCTTCACATAAAGGGGCATAGTCTCTACCGTCGGCCTGCAAAATCGACATTTTCATTTTAGCGCAGCTTTCAACGAAATTTAAAAAATACACATACACATAATCGTAGATGCATCTGACAAGTGCCTTATCACCGCATGAGTTAACTGCACAGCCAACCTTCTCGTTGTATGCAAACGCAATCTGTCAAATATGTGCATACCATATCGCTGTTCACTTTTAAGACTAGTCCTTTTCTTAGTTACAGCTTCCTCACCTTCACAAACCCTGCAAGTTTACTATATAGTTCTTTAGTAACTCTGAGATTATCACGAGAGTTGATGTATACACTGGGCTCCACCACTTGTCTACAGCCTGACGTCAAATTGTTTGCAAACACACAATTTGATAAATCTATAATAAACGAACGGCAGCA